GGCCGCGGGGGGGACACACCTCGCAGGGTGGCGGGGGGAGCCCTACGAGCAGGGAAGGAGGCAGGCTCGCTTTTAGAGCTGTCCCTCCCGCCGGGCTCTGTGGTGCGGGCGCCGTGCTCCTGTCCCCGGCCCTGCAGGGGATGAAGCCCGGCTCTGTCGGCGCGCCTCTCAGTCCGGGGTTCAGCATGAGCAGCGCAGCCTGTACCCTTTGGGGTACGCGGTACAACATGGGCGTTCTGGTAGAGGTGGAGCGATTTTCTCCTTCCAGGGGTGCGCTGTGTAGGTCGTGGCTCTTCCCTGACTCAAGTGATTCCCTTTATTTTTCAGGACTTCCCTGGAAGGTATCATTTTACATTTTGGATGGGTTTTGAGGTACTAATTGAAGCCAAAATCCCATTCTGAAACCCTAACTCTTCAACACTTCTGGGAACATACTGGAAGTGTTATAAAAGGGGTTTGTAAAACGTAGGAACGTGTGGATTAGGACCAGAATAGCTGTACAAGGAGCTGGGCTGCCTTGTAGGCTTGAGGCCATTCGAACAAGATGTGCTTTAGTGGACGCTGACAACAGGTGGTTTGTTACGGGGAGAATGGGGGCTGCTCCATTATGGAAAGCAGTGACCAAGCTAAAGATAAGCTGTTGTTACTGATGAGGTGTGGGGAGTGGCTATTACATTTGTTTGTATACAGACAAAAGAAATTGAGAGATAATCCCTTTGTGAGGGGGTAGTGGCCCTTCCAATGTAGTAAAGAAGCAGCAGCAGTTGGAAGTTGAAGCCAGACAAACCAAAGCTACAAATACTTTGGATCTGTAAGGTTTTCGTTCTTATGCAGTTAGGTGATCTCGGCCTTTCTGTTTGCATTTCTTCTAGGGAACTGTTTTCACCGTCTCAGAAATATCAGCTCCTTGTATATCATGCAGACTCTCTCTTCCATGATAAAGAATATAGAAATGCTGTAAGTAAGTACACGATGGCCTTGCAACAGAAAAAAGCATTAAGTAAAACTTCAAAAGTGAGACCTTCTACTGGGAATGCCGCATCAACTCCCCAAAGCCAGGTATGTAAAAATTGACTAATGTGCTGCATAAAATGATCATATTCCCCCTTACAATTAATGTTGCTGACTCAATATTACAGCATTAGATTGTGGATTTACCATGTCAAATAAACCTGATGTTTAAGGCTAACTTGTTTTGAAAATACCAGTGTGGCGTTTTCTAATACAAAATGTAATATGGTCTCGAACATGAGATTTTTTTTTTTTTGTATGTGTAGTTTATGCTTTTCATTTGAAGACAGGAGCCATATGAGCTAGCAGTAGGTTGCATTGTTAACTTTGTTGCACTAGATTATTTTCAACATAGCGTAAGCATTTAATGAGGAAACCTTACTCAGTTTTTTTACTTGACTAAAACAGCATCGTACTTTAAAGTTTGCTTTTTATTTCAGTGTTTACCATCTGAAATTGAAGTGAAATATAAAATGGCTGAATGTTATACAATGCTGAAGCAAGATAAAGATGCCATTGCTATTCTGGATGGGATTCCTTCCAGACAGAGGACCCCAAAGGTTAGTTCTGGCAGACTTCTGTCACAAGTCCTTGGTCAGCATATCTTGAATCTATAGGCCAGTATCTGGTCAAAAAAGAATGTAGCCTATAGGTATAATGTCCTTGTGTCTTGGTATTTGCTTTTGTATTAGTTAAATGTTGTTTGGAAACACTTCCTAGTGTTTACATTAGCTTAGTTTATTTGGCCTCTTTTCTTTAAAATCAGTCAAATTTTGTATTCCCTCTGTTAGAAAGAATTAAAAAAAAGTGGAAAGAGTTAAATGTTTGTGTGCATCTTTCTTAATTTGTGTGAACTACCTGGTTAACCCTTTAGTACTGCACATGGCAGGTACAGAATTGTGCTTGTGTACAAGGATGAAGAAACAATATTTTTTAAAATTCTAAAAGTTTGTAAAGCATTTGTATATCTATACATAAGGCTTGGAATCTGTATCATCCATTCGATAGTTCTTCGCATGTTGTCATGAATAGTTTTCATAGGGCAAAGAATAATGGATGATCTCAACAAAAGCAATGTGGATCACATCTACCAGAAGAAAAATTTATGCGATTGCAAACAGCTGAGTTACTGCAAGTTAGTAAGCGATTACCAGATACCTGACTGAATAATTTTCTGCAGTTCTGAGTCAAACATGTAAATGTAAGAGCCAAAGCAGTTGTTTAAATTAAGGTACTTTGCCTGGCTATAACCACAAAATGGAGTCGTAGTCTCCATGTAAGAGCTATGTATCACTGGACAGGAGAGGCACGCTGTCACCTGCTAGAGCTGAAGGAGAGACTTGTAGCCTAATTGTCTCACAAGGTTGACTGTTCTGAGGTGTTTTCACTATTAGCCAGTCAACATAACTTGCTAAATTGTGATTGCTCAAACTGAGCAAGTGTTTGAATATATTCCTGAACCCAGAATGCATATGGAATGGCGCTTCATGTCTTACTGTATAGTTTGAGCAGTGCAAGATGCTTGAAAGGCTGAAGACTTTGGCAAGTAGAAGGAATGCCAGTGCTCCCATCTTTTAAAACCTCTTCATCCTTTTTAATAACAGTTTAGATAATGTTAAATATTTAGATCCCATTGTGGTCTGCAGTGCCAAATATGTTGAGTCTTTGCTTGCTGGCTCTGTTATGTCAAAAGGGCTTAAAAGACTAACGTATCAGGTCAATCAACTATGTTTCATGTTAACAGTATTCCCGTATTGTGCTAACAATGTACGTGGCTTAGACTCTAGTAACGTCTAAGTGTTCTGTTTAAAGACCAACTTACAGAACAGAAAAAGAAGAAAAGATTGAGAAAAGCAAACTTTTTACCTATACACACTAGTAAAATAAAGTATCGTAGCAGAAACCAGCTACTTGTGTTGTGTAGAGCTCAAATCATTTCTGTTCTTTTATCAATCGTGACTTCATTCAGAAGCTAAATGGAAACTTTCTCTGCCTTCCTAAGCTAATTCTCTCAAAGACTTCCATTGATATGGAGAGATCAACTGAAAGAAGGCTAATGTAATGGATATACAGGTCCTTCTTGGCATCATATATAAACGCTTGCCCATCTTTTGACTTCTTATGTGCAAAACACTGAGATTTCAAGATGCACAATGCAAATACAAAAGAAGGTAAATTTTATCTTTGGACTCGGAAAGAAACAACAATTTTAATTTTATACTGTATGGTAGGTTATAGTGTTCTCAGAAGAAGAGCAGGTAATTTTGTCTTCTGCCCAGAACCAGGAGGGAGGGAGGCAGGCATGCTTGAAGACAAAGTTGTGACCTTTTCTTAGCGAGGCTTTCTCCTTTCTCATACTTGACTCTACCAACATTTCTGTTGCTTGTAGATCAATATGATGTTGGCAAATTTATACAAGAAAGCAGGTCAAGAACGCTCATCTGTTACGAGCTACAAAGAAGTACTAAGGCAGTGCCCTTTAGCACTTGATGCCATACTAGGTAGGTGTCTGCACATTGTTAGTATTTCAGTATTAAACTGTATTATAATTTGAACTATGCTTGGGACTAGGTAACTGTCTTGCATTTGCATGTAATATGTAATGCCTACACTGTGCAAAGCACAAAAAGCATTGTAACAAGCTGCTTGTTTATGCTTGTCAAGGGATGGAGTTTCTGGTCTTCAGACAATTAATTTGTATTAAAAGCAGTTTATGGTGGCTGAAATTGATGTATATACCATTCTGAACAGGCTTGCTCTCGCTGTCAGTGAAAGGTGCGGAAGTGGCCTCTATGACAATCAACGTAATTCAGAGTATTCCTAACTTGGATTGGCTTTCAGTGTGGATCAAGGCATATGCTTTTGTGCATACTGGAGATAACACAAGAGCGATAAATACCATTTGGTAAGAGTTCAAAGAGCATGATGTAATGAAATAATATATTTATATATAATTATCTTTAAAATGGCATTATATAAATAACAGGCTTTTTTTTTTTTCTCTTAAAGCTCTTTAGAGAAAAAGTCATTGCTGAGGGATAATGTAGATTTACTGGGGAGCTTAGCAGACCTGTATTTCAGAGCCGGAGATAATAAAAACTCTATTCTAAAATTTGAACAAGCACAAATGCTGGATCCTTACTTAATAAAAGGTGAGTAAATCCTAAAAGAAAGTTTACCTAGTGTAATGATCTGATGAGGGACATTGCTTGATTGCATGTAGCTGCTACTCCATGCGGTGGTGTATTGTATATTGTTGTACCTGGATTTCAATTCAGAATTTACATTCAGAAGCTGTGTGTCTTGAACCGTTGCTGGTAGTTGCACAGTTTAAAGTAGGTGTTTGTTTTCGTTTTTGTTTTTTCTTGTTGTGAATGAACTTTCCATTTCTTGATGATTGATCTTCAAACGTTTCACTTTAGGAATGGATGTATATGGTTATTTATTGGCACGCGAAGGTCGACTAGAGGATGTGGAGAACTTGGGCTGCCGTCTCTTCAATATTTCTGATCAACATGCGGAACCCTGGGTGGTATCTGGGTAAGTTTTCTTTCCTTTCTTACCTCCACTCGCTTTGCTGCATGCAGTGGATTACAGTTGATACAGTGGATTCAGCGTTTTTGTTCAGAAGGTGCTTTTCTATCCTATCTATTCTGGTTTTAGGGTAACTTAAATTAGCTATTCATAAATACCTATTTTGGTTGTTTTCTGTATGTTTAAACCTATTGAGAGTTACCACACCTGTGCAATAACGATACATTAAATAGCTGTAACAGTTAATATTGATACTGCTTTTTTTAAACTCCTGAAGAGTTGTTTTTTTTCCTGAACACATATTCTTAACTTCAAATGCAAGAAGTTCAACAGTTGCCTGTAACTTCTTTTTTTCTTTCTTTTTTTTTCCTTCTTTCTGCTTTTAAACCTTATGAATGTACACAGGCACCACAGGCAGTACATGTTTACAATCCCTCTTGTCTTTCCATAGGTGTCATAGTTTCTACAGTAAACGATACTCCCGTGCCTTATACTTAGGAGCCAAAGCTATCCAGCTTAATAGTAACAGTGTTCAAGCTCTCCTGCTGAAAGGAGCTGCTCTTAGGAATATGGGCCGAGTACAAGAAGCAATTATACACTTCCGTGAAGCAATACGTCTTGCACCTTGCAGGCTGGATTGCTATGAAGGTGAGTGAAGTGAAGCTACTCACATATACAGTATTAGTTTGGTGTGAAAGGTGGTGTCATGATGATGACTAGGCAAGGGAATAGACAGGAGTTCTTTTCTCCTGCTGACTTTCTAGTAAGTAAATTATTATTACCCGAAAACCTAGAAGGCTCTGGTAGAAGAGGTCAGATGAGGGATACTAAAGAATGTATGTATTTATAAGAATTATTTTCAAACAGGGCTTTTTTTTGTTTTTTGTTTTGTTTAATCTGGATATAAACAGACTTGGGTGTTCTGAGCAGATCACTTTTGGATGATGACTGTATGGTTAGTTCCACTGGGAGCTTCGTTTTGTCATACTTTTGTCATATTTATTTAAATCTTGTTGATCTCAACAGCAGCTTCGAGTACATAGTGAGTTGTGAAGAGACCCGGTGAAGCATTAATATCTCAGTACTGGAATTGGACAAAAATCTTAGATTAGGTGTACTTAGTCTTAGGCTTTTTTAGTACCGGCCCATAAATAAAAGTGATGAAGTCAATTATCTGTAGAATGGATATGTTAAAATGTATAGCGTCACTTTCTCAATTGCAATTTGCATTTGCTTATTGGAGTGTCAGTTGTTCGGTGTCTGAGTTGCTACTAAGTGCAAATAATTGAGGAGGGGTGAGTGTCTGTAATGCTAACTCAAAAACTGAAATGTTTTCCTTTTTATATCATCAGGTCTCATCGAATGTTACCTAGCATCCAACAGTATCCGTGAAGCTATGGTTATGGCAAATAACGTGTATAAAACTCTGGGAGCAAATGCACAGACGCTCACTCTGTTAGCAACAGTCTGTCTCGAAGACCCAGTCACGCAGGAAAAAGCAAAAACATTATTGGACAAAGCGCTAACGCAAAGACCTGATTACATTAAAGCTGTGGTAAAGAAAGCAGAACTTCTTAGTAAGTTCCTTTTTTTTTCCCCATGTCAATTTATTTAAAGCATACTGTTTTACATGGAAGAGCGTTCTGCAGCCTCATCAATGTGAAGAATGCAACAGTGATGTTACAGCCCAGGGATTTATCAGTTCTATCCTGAAGGAAAAATCCCAGGAATTAATTGCATCTAGCAACTGATACTACACCAGCACTTAAAACAATTGCAAACAAAATGTTTTGACTTCAAAGTATATGTACTCGTGAGCGTAGCAGTTACTGCAACAAAAAGCCATTGTTTAGAGTTAATCTTGCAAAAAGTGTATCGCTGCTATCCCCCATGCTGACAGTTCTGAAGGGAGAAAGTCTTGTGTTGTGATGACTCTTTGTCTACACGCTGACTTTTTATAGATTTATCTAAACTATTAATTAAAACTGTAGTTTTGCATATAAACAGGTAGAGAACAAAAGTATGAAGATGGAATTGCTTTGCTGAGGAATGCACTGGCTAACCAGAGTGACTGTGTTCTGCACCGAATACTGGGAGACTTTCTTGTAGCTGTCAATGAATATCAGGAAGCAATGGACCAGTACAGTATTGCCCTAAGGTAAAGCAGAGACTCTGAGATCGCAGTGTATTTATAAGAACCAATAATCAACTTGACTAAGTAAAAAGTTGAGCCACTAATTGATTAGGACGTGCATTAGAGGTAGCTTTATATCATTCTCCCTTAAAACAACAGAAACATACAAATGATGTCCTGTTAATGAATTAGTTGGTCATAAGGCTTTGAACTGAGAAGTGCAAAATTTAGGGACTGCTTTAATGCTAAACATGTCACTAGGCATGCGATTCCTTGACTAACGAAAGGATTAAGGCATGGATTTATTTATAGTTATTAATCATTATATAGTCAGGCACCTTAAGATCCATTCCTTTAGACTAGAAGGTGCTATATAAAAATGAACTATTAAGTATATTTAAATAGTGTGATTCAATTTAACATAACCTAATTGTTATTTTAGGGCGTTACCATGTTAAATGTTACCATGTTTTGATTTGAACAAGTTACATTTACCTTAAATCTAGCACATTATGTTAATCATTATATAGTCAGGCACCTTAAGATCCATTCCTTTAGACTAGAAGGTGCTATATAAAAATGAACTATTAAGTATATTTAAATAGTGTGATTCAATTTAACATAACCTAATTGTTATTTTAGGGCGTTACCATGTTAAATGTTACCATGTTTTGATTTGAACAAGTTACATTTACCTTAAATCTAGCACATTATGTCCACTATAATTATATAGCTTAAATGGATCGGCTTTTTTTTTCTTTCACGTAATATATTTAGTTATAGTCATTATATTTTTTTTTACTGCTTTCATCTTACTTTATAATTAGTATTGTCTGGAAGAGTTGACTCAGTTTTTTGAAAGAGTGTGATGTTTAGATAAGCGCATTCTTGGGGATCAAAAATTGTTTTATATAAAGATTTAATACTCGGGGTCAGCCTGAGGTGAAGTTGCATCGTCTACTGAATTGTACCTCTTGATGATGTTAAACAGGAAGTGCAGACAACAAGATGAGATTTTTTTGTTTGTTTTTTCTTTACAATAACGTCACAAATATAAGGGGGAAAAAAAAGTTTTAGGACAATACTTTCTTTTTCTTACTTTCCTCAGTTTGGATCCAAATGATCAGAAGTCGCTAGAAGGAATGCAGAAAATGGAAAAAGAGGAAAGTCCAACAGATGCGACCCAGGAAGAAGATGTGGATGATATGGAGGGAAGTGGAGAAGAGGGGGACTTGGAAGGCAGTGACAGTGAAGCAGCTCAGTGGGCAGATCAAGAGCAGTGGTTTGGCATGCAGTAACGGCCTCTCATCCTGCTGCTTGTTTTGGCACTTGAACATACCACTAGGGCCATTCTTTGAAGAACATAAACTATGATTTCTGCAGTAACAAAGGACTTTTTTCTCTTTTTTTTTTTTTTTTTTTAAATAAATAGACTCTGTAACCATTTAATAGTTCTGTGCATCTCAATGCCATGAAGATTCTTGGTGCTTCTTATTTATTAAGTGTAAGGGACTAACTGCATTGGAGGTTATTTGCAACTTTCATTTCAAAAAATTCCTGCTAAAACTAAAAGCATTAGAATCTGAAGTGTGTAATAAGCCTGTTGTTTATGATGAAAACAATGTCTGAATTCTGTCCTGGGCTAAGTGTGCTTGATCGATCTGTAAATACAGTGGTGTGTACTCCTTTGTGGAAAAGGTCTTACTCTTGTTTGTATGCTACCATTTGGGCTCAGGCTCCTGTTGAAGCCTGGAGGAGTTGTTTGGGTGTGGCTGAAAGCAGCACTTTGCTCTTGCTGTATTTGTTGAATTAATTTGTCTTTTTATATAAGGTATTACATGTGCTGTAAAGGAGAAGTTTGGTAGGCTTGGCAACTTTGACTTACAGGACACTTCTGTAGCTGACTGATTTCTATGTGTACAGAATTGAGCCACTGTTGGAGAATTACAGTCGCTTCCTCAATCCTTACTAAACCCTGTAATCACTTAAAGTCTGTACATGAGCATTTATTTTTAAACGCAGTTTAGTTTTATTTCAGTATGTTACTAAAAGGTTTTACAGCGGTGACTCAAAGCACTTCACATTCTATATACAGCACTGACATTTAAAATGATATAAAAAGAATTCATGCGTCTTCACTTGCATTGCTGTAGAAATGTTAAATTATGCAAATACACATATTGTCTTGTTTTTGCCATGTTTATATACTTCATGTTTGTGTCAGGTAATGTTTGAATTCGTGTGTTTTCCCTCACCTTTTGAAGCAAAGTTGCATTGCTTCACGTACAAATTCTCAACATCAGCGTTTCAAGGGTGAGCTGCTTTGTGTAATCTAGAAACCATTTCAGTTCTGTGGGCTTGATGTGTGGGAGGAGGAATTACTTCTTGCTCTTATTTTTCTTACGGTTCCGATTTCCTTACTCTTTACTAAAACACGCATTTTTATCTTTATATTGGCAATTTGATTCCTTTTGTATTTATTCTGTTACCACAGGTATGCTGGAGCACGCAGACTTTTTTTACAAAGCTAAAATATAGTTTTGAGTATCAGAGAAAAAATGGGTACTTGAAACAAATACATGATATGGAAAAAAAGCTTCCCCCGAGCTGCAGATGTATAATCAGATAAAGGTAAAATATATCTCCCTCTGATGTGCACTATATCAATTAGAAAAATGCACAACAAAAAGAACAGGCAGATTACTGCTATTATAGTCTATTTTGGAAATATTTCAGTATGTCACATCTTACAAAGGAGGAGTCTAATAGTTTACCCATGTAAAAAAAGAAAACAGCTGGGTATCTGTTCTCTCTGGAATTTTGTGGGCTTTAGACTTTCCAAAATATCAAACTGAATTATGGTTATTTGGAGACTACATGGGAAGAACAGAAAAGCGTGTGCTGCTGTCTTGGTGATTGAATTGGCATAAGCTGTTCCTGCTCTTTCGTTAAACAAATACACCAAATGGCTGTATTTCAGTTAGAGCAAACATTTTGTTAATTGCATTCTGGTGGATGAGAGGCCTGATCCTTTTCTTCTTTTGTGAAAAATCTGTTTATACCATTGCTATGTGATGCAGTGAACAGATTCCAGCTCATCGTGTGTCTTTCATAACGGAAAGAAATATACATGCACAAGCGAATTCAAAGCATCTCTTTTTTTAAAAAGGAAACCTGCTTCGTTTTCTCCTCGCCCTCGAGCATTCATCAGACTGTATTCTGCATCTGAAAGTTGGGTAGCTTCATTAGCTTTCTGCTTGTATTCCAGACCTCTGTTGTGGATGAAAGAATGGAGTTCTTGATGTTATTAAACTAAAGAAAGGACGCATTTAATTTTGATGAGAGAGGTATGAGACATGTATTTTGCAAGCTGCTCAGCCATTTTATTCTAATGATTCCTTTAAATAGGTCGTTAATCGCAGATGGAAACCACTGGCCTTACGCATTTCTCTGAAATGTTTACATAGAACAGGAAATCAGAGAACCACAGTCTTACTAAAACCATTCTGTAATATGTTTGTAGATAATCTGATAATCTCTCCTTTTAGAACAGACGGGAAACTAAAACTGCTTCAAGATGAGTGTGCTGTAAAGAAAACATCAGCGTGCTTATGTGCGGCTTTAGCAAACAGGTCCAGGTACACCTAAGAACACCTTAAGATAGCTGTCAAAATAGAGTTGCATCCTCGCTGCTTTGTTTTTCTGAGAACTTGGCTCCTTACTGAACGTGAAAAGTTCAGTCAGACCCTGCAAACAATACCTGTAAGTACCCGATGTACTGGGGTTATGTAGCTTGTGTGTAGTCTTTGCTAATAGTTGAATAGTAAGTGAATAAGGAACTTTAAGATGCCATACACGTCGAGTGCGTTTGAGATTATATAGATAGATAGTTAGCACAAGCTTCAGAATTCTAGAGGGATTCTTCTTGCCTATTAATGAGCCTTCATTAGCGCTCTAATTTTAGAATGTGATCTCTGGTTTTGCAGAGATCTTGTACTCTCAAATTCGGTTACCGGTATTCTGGTTCAGGAACAATTAGCCCATAATAAGCAGCTGACCTCATTCCGTCCCTTAATCATGTGCTGTGCACCCGAGAAGAAAAGATCATAAAGCCAAAACCCAAAGTTCAGACTGTGTCGAATCCGTGATGGAAGCTCCCCGGAGTGAAGTGATTTGTAGGTGAGGCAAGAAGGCCGTTGCCGTCCAGTTGTATTGTACAGCACTGGCGCATCTGCAAGTGCTAGTCTCCAGGGCTGGGTAAGGATGGAGTGCCAGGGTTTGCTTGAAATACTTGACTTTATATCACAGATGTCATTAGTAAGTTTTAAATTTTCCCTACTTTGCGATGGGAAAGACGGAAGCGATGCAAAGGGACAGAATTTCTTCAAACCTTACAGAGACTTGGGTAAGGGCTAAAAGTCTTATTTACCAGAGTCTAAAAGCAGCGCACATTTGTGATGTGGCTAGGGATTATCTAAATAATGCATGGTCCCTAGCAAGAGATTTGCCCGTGCTTTATTCTGTAGTGTGCTGATAACACCTGAAATACTGGCGGTATTTCTAATTCTGATTTCCGTATCTTGGGAATCCAAGAATTGTGAAGCAGAGATAATAGAAGGAACTGAGGACTGCTGGCCAATATAAATGTTTTCTGTCTAATTGTGGTGCTTCTTCCTTTTCTGTTACTGCTGATGGTAGAGAGATTCCTGATTAACTAGGACTTTTTTTTTTTTTTCCCTTTCAATAACTGTCATCCTCATTAGGCCTGGTTTTGTGTGGCGATTCTTCCCTCCCTGCTTTTCAGGAGCTCAGTGATGTGGAAACTGATCGATCCAGGGCAGAAGCGGGGAGTAGTTCTTATTCAGCAAACCTTATTTCCTCGCTTAGATCTCAGCTGTAAGGAAATCTCAAAGGCTGTGTCTGCCATTGTAATTTCAAGTTACACAAATATACCGTAACCAAACATCTTTTAAAAGGCAGAGCTAAATTAGTGCAGTCTCCAGGGGTCTTAAATTTAGTGACCTTAGGTGGGCTTAAACTCGGTATAAGTTTTCAAACTAAATAGACTTAGGCAGGGCTTAAAGTAGTGTGTTCTAGATAATGTGTATTCAGTACTGCCCATCAGTAAATCGATACAACTTTACGTAGTACCCAGCAAGACTCAAGTCCGTTGCAGTCGGTTTTGCTGTGTGGGCCTAAAGAATGATTCCCCTACCCGTTACATTCCTGTATTGCCAGGGTGACAGTCTGAAAGATAATCCTGTGAATGGATGCCTGAACCTACCTCCAAAATATTCCCACTCCTCTCCCATCCTTCTTTTCCTTTTTAACTCTGCAAACCTTTTTGCTGCCTTTTTTTTTTTTTTTTGCAATACGTGTAAAGGCAAAGAAACTTTCATTTTTTTATA